ATTAAAAAAAAAGCCCTAACCAGTTTGGTTCAGTGGGTGGAGCATCGACCTGCTGACTGAGGGGTCATGGGTTGGATTCTGGCCAAGGGCATGTACCTTGGTTGTGGGCTCAGTCCCACGGGGGTCGTGCAGGAGGCAGTTGATCAATGTTCCTCTCATTGATGTTTCTAACTCTTTATCCCCCTTCCTTCCTCTCTGTAAACTCAATAAAAAAGATATATATATATTAAAGTATACTTTTTTTTAAAAGGCCAGTAGTGCTAGGAAAGCCCTGCAGAGCTGCTACTACAAGGTCCAGCCTTTTGTGAGCCTTTTCAGCACAAGTCACAGCTCTAATGGGAACTTCATTAACTAAAGGCAGCAGCTGTGAGGGTAAGAGCAGACACCAACATTCTGGGCACCATGGGTTCATATTTTTCCAGATGAATAAATCCGAATCTAAAAGCTATGAGAAGCCCGTTAAAGTAGGAATTTTCAGGCTTGTCCTGCTTATCTGTTCCTAGCAGCCCCGAACAAGGAGAGGCCACCCCTTTCCTTCTGGGGAAATGCCCTCGATCCTATTCAGGGAGATTTCAATTTGGTCTTTAAAGTAGGATGTGCCTTGGAGAAGGCTGGCTTGATTTTGAGGACAAAGCTTCTCACTTTTCTCTCCCCCGCTTTTCATTCTGTTGTTTTAGGGTGAATTTGCATACCTTTCCTCCAGTTCATTATTATGAGTTTGTTTGAAAGGGGTCTCATTTTCCTATTTCCAAGTTCTTGGGAAGAGTGAAAAGAACTTCTTTTACACCCGTGTGCTAGTAGTATTAGTACTGCGTGGATACTCTAAAATGTTAAAAAGAAATTCTCTTCTTATTTAATTTGTATAAGACTGGAGTACCTACTTAACTCATACATTTTCCCCCTTCAGTCTTCCTTCCTACTACTTTCCCCCCAATCTATTGCCCAGTTACATTCCCTTGAGGAAAACTGCTTTACCAGGCAGTGCCTAAGCACTGATCTCTGACCCAAGTTCTTTAGTCTCATTATTTCCAAATGGAGGTTATCCAAAGAATGCTCTCCAGTAATAGTGTTTTTTAAAGTTAAATTTTTGTCAACAATCAATATTTTTATTGAGTTGTCTTTTCTTGATTACTAATATATATGCGTTTGTTTATACATTTGACATAGTCTGGAAAAGATGAAAGAAACATGTCAGCTTAAGGTCTAGAAAAGCCACTGTTAACTTTTTGGTAATCAACAGCTATTTAAGCCCATTTTATTCTATACTGATCAAAACTATTCCTCTAGAATAATCTAGGTGTGAAGATAAGACTAGTACATGCAACAAAACAGAAGTGTTCAATACAGAATTCATTCATTCATTCATTCATTCATTCATTGATTTGGGTGAATGTACAGAAACATGCTAAACTAATCTAGAAGATTAATCTATTTGGGGATATCATCAAGTAAAGGTCATCAGATATAGACCATATTATCTCAATCAGAAGAGTGACTGGTCCCAGCAGTAGATACTATCTTTTTAGATGGAGGATGGGCAGTTCCTTTCATTCTTTTGGGGTTGAGAGGTGGGGTTAAAAGCCAAGATTTCCCATGAGAAAATTTTTTACTATCTCAATGTAATAATTGTGACCAAATGGTTAAGCTTCTAAGTAGAAGTAGCATTTTACTAAGCAATTCTGTTCATTTTCATGTTTGTGACCAAGACCCCCAAAAAAGAACCTAGAGTTTGACAAAAAAAATAAGAAATACCTAAGTGTAGTAATTTAATTGGTAAATATGGGCAGCCTTTCTTTCTTTCTTTCTTTCTTTCTTTCTTTCTTTCTTTCTTTCTTTCTTTCTTTCTTTTAGAGAGAGAGCGAGAGAGAGAAACATCACTGACAGGCTGCCTCCTTCATGTCCCCTACTGGGGATCGACTGGGCATGTGACCTGACTGGGAATTAAACCGTGACCTCTTGGTTCCTAGGTCAATGTTCAACACTGGGCCACACCAGCTGGGCAAAGATACCCTTTTAAAAGGTTGATTTTTACTATGGAAATTCTCAAGCATATATTAAAGTAGGGAGACTAATATCATGAATCTCCATCTACCTATCCACTTTTATACCTCCCTTATCCCCCCTTCCTCAAAATGAATTATTGAGAAGCAAATCCCAGCTGTTTTATCATTTCAAATAGAAATACTTTGGTATGTCCCCCTAAAAAGTGAAACGACTAAAAGGAAGGATTCTGATGATTTATAACTCTTAGTCTTGTTTTCTCATCAGTCTTCCTGTGTCACAGGGCTTTGAATTAGGAAATGAGTTCTAGACCTGGTTTTGCCACTCACCAGCTGTGTGACCAGCAGTAAGTCACACACCTCTCTGGGCTTGAATTAAGACGATTTCTAAGGTCTCTTCCGGAGACATGGATTTGGTACAGGGTCTATTTGCCGTTTGTTGTTTTGGTGCAGTGCCCAGTTCAGTCAAGGCCCTCCCAGTCTTCATTTCCCAGAGGCTGCTGAGTGGCAGAATCTTTAATTTGGAGCCTTAAAAAGGAAATGAGCCTTGAGCGTTCCTTAGCGCCATTTTGTGTGGCCATCAGTATCTCACAACCTCAATGCTGACAACCTCAATTCATCATGTCAAGTGTTCTGCTGAGTTGTGATGCCGGGAAGGTTCAAGTGTTCCAAACAGGTCCTCCTCTTTAAAGGGCCACCCTGAAGCCAATAGCTATGGAAAAGTGATATTTACAGTGCTTGGGGGGAGTGGGGGGTAAGCTACTCTCTTATGCAAGGAACGGATTGGTGTCCTGGTGCAGGGTATTGTAAAGACATAAAGATACCCATCTTATAGGCAAACCAATGGAGTGTGAAATCGGGTAGGTGCACCTAAGGTTGCCTGGTAAATGCAGGATTAAGTCAGAAATAGAATTTGTCTTGAAATTATGGAAAACATGCATATTGTCGAGGCAGAGGTTTAGGGCAAGGGTGGGCAAACTTTTTGACTCGAGGGCCACAATGGGTTCTTAAACTGGACCAGAGGGCCTGAACAAAAGCATGGATGGAGTGTTTGTGTGAACTAATATAAATTCAAAGTAAACATCATTACGTAAAAGGGTATGGTCTTTTTTTTCAATAGTTTTATTCATTTCAAACGGGCCGTAGTTTGCCCACGGCTGGGTTTAGGGGAAGCTAGGAGTCCTCTTTGGCTAATGGAGGAAACTTTGGGTGAGAAGAAGGTACCCAGCCCGGAGCAGCAATGCCACTGGGACCCTCACAGTGTGTGTCCTAAGCTTCCGTGGGTGTCCTCCCATGCATTTCACACATCAATATCAGAGCTAGGATCCTGGGAGTGTGAAGAGTAGGTGGCCCAGCATCTCTGATCTGGGCAGTGCGGGAGACAAGCTCTGACCCAGGTTTCTGGCTGTTGCAGGCATCTGTCCTGCTCCTCCACAGCTTGAAGAGAACCAGGGAAATGAAACTGGAGGAAGGCTATTTGAAAAAAGAAACCGTTGATTGTCAGTGAACTGGTAGAAGAATGCTCACAAATGCTGCAAATTAAAAAAAAAAATCGCCACGACCCTAAGAAGAAGGAAAAGAAGTACCCACATGGAAAAAGCCTCCAACATTGCCATTTTAAAGCACAGGCTCTAATCAGCTCTGACCTTTGGCAGGGAATTCATTGAAGCTGTTGACAGGGATTATGGTTTTGGTGCCAGGGTTTAAGCTGGGGAGTAGGATTAAAAAGGACCAAAGACGAGGGCTGGTATTTCGAGCTGAAACCAACGGTCCGGTCCGTGGTGGGGAATTCACTGGGTCTGGGAGTTTGGGGCTGGTTACTGTGCTCAGGAAAGTGCCTTCCAGTGGGTTCGGAGGAGGATCACGATGTGCATTCTTTGTAGCCTGGTGGACTTGCACACACGGTCAGCGATTAGAGTCTGAGGCCTGTCCTTAGCAGGAAATGGTAAAGGAATCTGCAGGAAGCCGAGGCCCAGGGAAGGGAAACCCCTCCCTCCTGTCAAAGGCCAGGCCCGAGTGAAGATGAAATGGCAAGTGGAGCCGTAGGGACAGACGCGTTGAAAGGGAGCGTGGCTGACCCGCGGACGGGAGTAAGGGAAAGGCAGGCGGCTCTGGTTTACTGTGTGACCAGCCTGTGCCTGGTGCTCCGCAGTCTGGAACCTGCGAAAATGCTGTTGCTTCATTTCCAGGGCCGGTGGGTGGTGTGTTTCCTGAGGTCCAGTAAGGGGACCTCACTGAGCCCACCGAGGGGACAACCTCCCCCTGTTTCAGACGTCCAGCTTACTCAAGGCCCAAACCCAAACCTTAAGTTGAAAAATGTTACCAGGAGAAAAGGTGAAATGTAAATGCCATCCAAGCATAAGAAATCCTCAGTGCGAAGGAGCAGAGGAATGCAAAAGCATGTTTGTTTCACCCAGCTCTTTATAACAGAAAATACGCTATTCTTGAGGTAGAGGGAGAGTCTGTGATCCAGCGGAAGAAACGGAGTCCAAGAAGAAGGAACCGGTTATCTGAAATCTGACAACATTTTCTTGTAGCTGAGAACTCAGCTTTGAAGTTTCTCTTTGTGAGCTGGGCTCAGCGCGTTATGCTACCCCCGAAGAAAAAGAAAATTAAGAATATTTTATGTGGAAGATGCTCAGTGATTAAAAAAAAATAGCAGTACTTAGCTCTCTTATCTCATCAACAGTGCACTGGACTCAATGCTAGCAATTTTGTGTTCTGATTGTTACTGGAAGAAAGAAAAAAACAAACTCTACTCAATGCTGATTCTACAGGTTTAGTGGAAAAAAATGTTCTAACAGGCAAGTGGCAAACAACAAAGCTTTTGAAAAGCCAGACCTGGGAGAGAAGTGCTGTTTCATAATGGGTATGAATAGTTATTCGGCTGCTTTTTTTTTTTCAATCTCTCTGGTTTTTTGATGTGGATCTCTCTCTATTCGTTCAGGAAGTTATGACGTGAGCTCTGGGCAGGGCCTGAGGTTTTAGAACCCTTTCTAAAAGGGACAGAGAGTGCCTTCTGCATTTCCTAACGGTGGGGTTGACGTGCGAGCGGCAGAGCTTTGGAAGGCTGGTCACGATGCAGGTGCTTCTCCCATACAGCCGGCTGGGCCTGGCTCTCGCCCTCATCCTGACTTTGGACTCTTCAGTTCAAGGTAAGCCCAGGACTCTCGTTCTCCTGTCATCTTCTGGGTAAGCCCCAGGGTCCACACAAATGATTATATTCACTTTAAAGTACAGGATGCATTCTATTGTGGGAAAGTAGGCAAAGGAAAAGGATTTTTGGTGACTGAACTTCTTAGTGTGTGTTTGGTTAAGTTTGGTACCAAGAACAATTAAACTCTCAGACTTGTAAACCCTTTGCAATGATTGAAATGCACCGTTTTATGTTGGGATGAAAATGTATGGGTTATAAATTTTTAAAGCTCAGAAAGGATGACAACCTGTGGCAGGGAGGAGGTGGCACTGTTGGGGGTTTGGGAGTATCTACCCACCCCTGCGTGTCCACATCTCTCCCAGGTTTTAATGGATTCCAGTGGTGTCACAATTATTGTAACGCTGGGAAGTGCTAGTTTTTAATCAGCGTCAATTTGACCACGTGTATTTTTCATCTTTTTAAACTTGGTTCTTAGTGAAAATTCAATTATGAGTAGGCCTAGTTCATGAAAACCCTCTTAGATTTTAAAGAGAGACCAAAGAATTTTAGTATTTGTGCTGCTGGTCAGAGAAACGTCACATCTGAAAATTTCCTGTTAGACTTCTCTGTCACTTATGGTTGTTTAGTAAGACTGAATTGAGGTAAAACCTTGAATCACTAAGAAAACAAAAATGTTTGTAAGAAATATACAATAGCTGCTCCTTTGGTAAATAAGGGATCCTGTCTAAATGAGGCAGAGGTCATGGTAGAATTTATAGTAGAAAAACATTAAGTTCCCCTAAACTGTAAAGGAAATATTGAGTCATGGTGACACACATGCCCCAGGTTTGCTTCTTTGCATCTTGTTTTTACTTCTGATGGAAAGGAAGTCGTATCGCTGATCTCAGCTACATTAATTATGTATTGGAAATTTATAAGATCATTTTTCTTGTGATGCAATTATGGAGAACAAACAGCAAGCAATGTTGCTGAAGCTTTCCCACAGATCTATTGATTTTTTTTTTAAAAGTGTTAAACATTGTTAGTTGTAGGGAACAGGCTTTGACTTGGGTCTCTCAGGGAATATCTTGAGCTCGATGAATAATTCCATGTGTTCTCGCAAGATCCAGAGCAGAAAGGTCCATGTTTGTTGCACAGTGATCAGTGTGCTGGGTCTTCTCTGGCCAGAGCTAGAGATGTCTTTACATCTTCAAAATTTCCCAGAAATGGCATGTTCCCCACCAAGGTTCACCAGGTAAACTAGAATTAAAACAAAAATGTTCCATGTAATAGGTATTCATCAAAAAGAAGTGAAGAAAGAAAGAAACCATTATGAGATTGTATAAAGTACTAGCATTTATGTCATCACCTGGTAGGGTTAGCTCTTTGCTGGAAAAGAAACCAAAAAGGGAGACAATGAATGAATTGAAAAACTAGGGTGTTTCCAAAGGAGAAGTTGGAATGAAGGGTTTGTGCTCAATTCTGAGTAAGAACAGAAATAGATGCCCACCCATGGCGACATGGTGAGTGATCCATGTGATGGCAGATAGGATTCGATAGCATCCTTTCCCCACTTAACCCATTGGTCTGACTGAACTGATCAAATTAACTAGCCTTTTGACTTGTTCTTACTGAACATTTTCAAAACATCTTAGGTGACTGTATTCCTGTGCGAGGGCTGCCATAACAAAGCACCACAGACTGGTGGTTTAAACAACAGAAATTTATTTCCCCACAGCCCTGGAGGCCGGAAGTCCAAGATCAAGGTGCTGGCGGGGTTGACTTCATTCTGAAGCCTCTCTCCTGGGCTCCTGGCTGGCTGTCTTCTCTCTGTACCTTTATATGGTCCTTTGTATATGTCTGTGTCCCAATCTCCTCTTCTTTTTCGGACACCAGCCATATTGGATTAGGGATCATCCAATGACTTCATTTTTCTTTACCTCCTTTTAAGGCCCTATCTCCAAAGCCAGTCCCATTCTGAGGTCCTGTGAGTTAGGACTTCGGCAGATGAATTGTGGGGGAGAGACACAATTCAGCCCATATCAGTTACTATGAGTCAAACCCAAGTAAAGACATGGTGTGCAACTGTCTACAGAGTCAAAGCAATGGGAGCTTGGCAATGTATGGGAGACCCTGGAGAGCACGGGGTCTCCCACACATTTTAATGTCGAGCTTCCAGGGGGTTATTGATGAGGCCTGTGAATCTAAGCTCTCTTATTGCCTCTCTTCTTCAAAGATGCCCATAAAGAGAGAACCTGGAAAATCCATGAGCAGGTATGGCCAAAAGGGGTCAGGGCCAGACCATGTGTCCATTCCACAGTTTCCTAGATCACAGTAAAGACACTGATTCCACTCATGTGCGCCTCTGTTTGCTTGTAATGGGTTTCCCCCTCCATTCTCTGGGAAATGATCGTCACAGTCCCTGTGAGGAGGAACTGACACCAAGTTAAAGAGGAGAAAACTGGATCTTATACTCGTCATCTCATTTGCTCTTTACATCAACCTTTTGCAAATAATTTACGAGACTTGCTCAAAGCCCCTTACAACTAATTAATAGCAGAACTGCTCATCTGATTTGAAGGTCAGCTAACTTTCTACTGCAACTTGGCTATCTTCTTGGTGTGTTAGAGATTTTATTTATTTGAAACAGAAAACCTTCCTTGGACTATAGCCCTTGCTTTAAAGTTTGCCGCTGAGTTGAGGGACAGAGAGGGGGAAATTGAAAGTAAACTTGATAGTTTTATAGCTTGTCAAACCATTCAAGGGTGGAGTCTCCCCTCCATATTGTACAGTTGACGGGCCAGTAGGAAGCAACTTCAACTTAGATAGTGAGGTCTGTGTGAGTGCTGCCGAACAGTGAATCAAATGGTCTTTTCTCCTTCCTCCGTCGCAGTTTCTGCTTAAGTTTTTCTAACACACCTGCTGCAGCAAATCCCCATTAAGAAGAGGAAATTAGTAAATTGTGATGATGTTGGGGGGAAATTGGTACTACAGTATAAAAGGACAGAGGTTACTGCAGTAAGCTATTTGCTCTGGTAATGTAAATATAGAAAGTATTTTTGGTAAAGCAGGAGAGAGAGAGAGAGGAGAAAGAGGAGAAAGGAAGTGGTGGGCAGTGAAGGAAAGGGATTCTAAAGAAAAATCATTCTTCTCCCTGGAATCTATGACAAAATCAACCAGCAGATCCAGTAAGTGGGGCCTTTTAGGAAGATAATCTTTCGGTACAAGAGCATACTTTCTTTTATTTTATTTATTTTTTTACCTTTTATTATTTTTTTGTTTTTATTTTATTTTTAATTGAAATACAATTTGACACGGAACATTGTGTAAATGTAAGGTATACCTGTTGATTTGATACATTTATATATTATAGATTGTTGCTATTATAGTTATAAAACATCTATTACATCACATAATTCTCATTTATTTTATTTTATATTATTTTTTTAAATTTCTTTATTGACTAAGGTATTACATTCCTTTTATTTTTTTTTAAATATGGTAATCATAAACTATTTCTCTCAAGCAAGAGAGAGTCAAGGTACTCCTACACTATTAGGGGCTGAGTCTGTCAGATTTTCACATCCTGCCTACTCCTTTGAATAGACATGTGAGGAACTACGGTCTGTAATCACGTTCCTTATTTTAAAAACACCAGTCCCATCTCAGATCAACTTTGGAGTGGGGGGAAGGTGACCGCCATCTTTGATTTCTTTATACATTTTTAAACAGATTTATTGAGATCAAGTTCACATACATACAATTCACCTGTTTAAAGTGCACAGTGTCATGGTTTTTAGTGTGTTCACAGACACAGGCAATCATCACCACAGTCAATTTTAGAGCATCTTGTCATCCCCCTCAAAAGAAACCCCCTTGATAAATTTTAAAAGCTGCGATTCTGAACTTTGGGGAAAATTTTGTGCTTTAGATTTCTTTTTTTACTAGTTTACCAAAGTTGTATTTGTTAGACCAGTGAAAAGATGTCGTCAATCACCTGGCTTCTTCCTCATAAAATGTCAGTTTAACTTTTCTGTTTAACTTCCTACCTATGCAAATACTTCTTTGGCTTGATATTCAGTGCTTTAGCCACATGTAGAGGACACTGCCTAGACCTGCTCTGTCCAAAATGGTAACCACCAGCCACTTGTGGCTTCTTCTTTTTTTATTTTAATTTTTTTTTGGGGGGGGGCTTCTTGAAATGTGTTTAATGTGGCGAGTCCAAATTGAGACCTGCTTTCAGTGCAAAATACACACCAGATTTGAAGTCTTAGTATAAAAAAAAAATCAGTAACTTTTATATTACGTTAAGTAACAATATTTATTGGAATATGTTGGCTTAAATAAAATGTATTTAAATGAATTTCACTTATTTCTTTTTACTCTTTAAAATATGGCTGCTCACCTCGGTTGCAGGTTCATCCCTCCCCAGGTCAGGGCACATTCAGGAGGCAACCAATCAAGGTGTCTCTCTCACGTAGAGGTCTCTCGTTTCAAAATATGACCACCTAAGGGGAACAGAGGTCAGTGTTCCTGACTAAACAGTCAGGAATTGCATGTTTAAAAAATTCTTGTCCCTGGCCGGGTAGCTCTGTTGGTTGGAGCATGGACCAGATGCACCAAAGATTCACCGAGGTTTCAGGTTTGATCCCCAAGTAGGGGCACATGCAGGAGATAACCTGTGAATGCATGAATGAGTAGAAGAACAGATCAATGTTTCTCTCTCTCTGCCTCTCTCTCCCTTCCTCTCTCTCTTTCTCTCTCAAATCAATAATAAAATAAAGTTAAAAAGAAAATCTTGCTGCACACCAGTGTGCCTGCTGCTACAGTGGTTGAAAAATCACTGGTCAGACAACATAGGGTGTGAAGACAGCACCCTCTGCTGGAGAAGATGTTGATTTTTAATTTTTAAAATTTTTATCCCACCTGCAAGCTTAAGACTTCTGAGTAGTACATAATTAGATTCCAAACTGAGGCTGCTTTAGGAAAGAACCAGAGGAGAAAGAAAGAGCTAAAATGTATTAACTACCTACCATATGCAAAGGCTTGTGGTAGAGATTTAACATACATTTACCTTACTTAAACAGGAACTCTTTGGAACACTATTCACACTTGAAAGATGAGAAATTGAGAGTCAGAGAGGCATTAAATGATAGAACAGTAATTTAAATTCTGGTCTCTCCACAAGCTATTCTCTATCAGAGCTCGGTCTTCGTTGTTCTCCTAAACAGAGAAACTAGCATTTAAAGAGCTCTGACCATGTGCTATCCTGAACACTTAATATTTATATCTCATTATTAGGTTTACTACTTTCCCCCATTTTGTGCATGAGGCAATTGAGGCATAGGGAGGAGGTTAAGTAGGTCAAGGTCACACAGCTGGTAAGGGGCGGGCATTGTGATGCCATCTTGCCACCTGACCCCCAGCCTCCAGGCAGTGACAGAGCTAACCCTTATTAATTAATTAATTAATTTAAAAATCTTTATTGTTGAAAGTATTACATATGTCCCCTTCTTCCCTCCAACCCATTTTAAATGATTAGCTGTCCCAGACCAGACATTGTATTGAGGAACCATGGGAAAGATTGTGCTAGACTAGCAGTTCAGAAGGAAGGGAGGAAGGAAGGGAAAGAAAGAAAAAAAGAAAAGAGAATATTTAGGTTTTTTCTACATTAAAGTCTTTCTTTTGTTTATAATTTTAAAGAAATATTGTTTATTACAGCAGTTTAGAAAATGAAATTTTTCTGGTGAAAAAAATCACCAGAGTCTACTACTAGCTATTTTTGTGTATTTCCTCCCATCTCCTCCCATATCTGTTTCTAAGGTTTCCTTAACCGTTGTGTATATAAACAACTATTATGCATCACAGTGGCATTCTGCTTTTTTCACTCATTTTAAAATAGAGGTTTTCCTATGATGTTACATAGTCTTTTCCCTAACTAACTACGTTTTTACCATTTGGTTAACATTCTTTCATATGAATGCCAAATAATTTATTTGAGCATTTTCTATTGTTTTGATTATATTTTCCTATTTCGAATAATACTAAGGTGGACAGTTTCATGTATCTTTTGTATTTTACCTATTCCTCTATTTCCCTATTGATACAGATAAGTATGTATCATGTATATCTTAATGATATAATAACTTGGCAGTGTTGTATTTATGAAATGATTCAGAAAAACGAGCTAGAAAAAAGTCGAGGATAGAGATAATAGTCATGAGAACAGGGGCCGTAATGATGAAGAGGATGTTTCGAAAGCGTTCAGTGGTTCTGCGGTCTTTTAAGAACAGAGTTCTTGGCCATCCCATTGAGATGTAAGGGGAACTTGACCTCAGAAGAAGCTCCACTTTCCAAACTCTGAGAGTTGCTGTCAGAAGAGAATGGGACGCAACTTATTTGAGCATATGCTCCTGGAAACACAGATACCCAGGAGGAAGAAAAGCAGAACTCCCAAATCCACCATCTCTGGGGAGTTGGGTAATGAGATTAGCAGTAATTTCCCTTTCGCTTGCTACATTTTTTTTTTTTAAATTGATTTCAGAGCGGAAGGGAGAGGGAGAGGGAGAGAGAGAGAGAAACATCAATGATGAGAGAAAATCATTGATCGGCTGCCTCCTGCACACCCCACCCTGGGGATCGAGCCCACAACCTGGACATGTGTCCTGACCGGAAATTGAACCAGCAACCTTTCAGTGCACAGGATGACACCCAAGCCACTGAGCTACACTGGCCAGGGCATCCCATCTTTTGCTATTGCAAAAAATGCTGCAGTGATTGTCCATGGCACTATATATTTTTTTAGTAGTTGTTGTTATGATCTGTACAGGACAACAATGTGCTGGGCTCTAAAACCACCTTTCCTGCTTTTCAAGAATTGCATATGCCAACTATAAATAAAAAAATAATACTTTTAGGCATGCCCCGTCTTGCTAGGTGATTACTAGTTGCACTCATGTGAATAAACTATGTGCTTGGGGTGGGGAGGAGATGAACCTTTTGAAGGGTCAAGTATTTCTCACCACTGGGCCTCCATCCTTGCTAAATGGAGGAATGAAGACTTTATTTCATGAATTAATTAGAGATCTCCTATATAATCTCATAACATTTCCGTAGAAATTAAACTCAAAGGAAGCTATGACAGACTAGGATAGTCCAGCCCGCCTGTCCCTCTGTGAGGAGGAGCCTTGTTGTTTTGAAATCTCTGACTAGGTCGAAGGGCAAAAAAAGAGGCCACGTTTTTAACTGCTTGCATTCCTAAGGGCGCTCGATGGTCCTAAGGAAATAGGACTCTGTAATATGTCTGGTACATGCAATATATTCCTAACCTTTGTGAACATGATGGGACTCATCTCTATAAGAAGAGCCGGGCAGCTCCTGTATGGCCTCAGTTTTCCTTTGTGTAAAACGAAGAGAGTAGTACAAACATAATGCTAGTTAATATTATCAGGTGTTTACTGTGTGCCCGGCCCTATGTTAAGGCCTTTACATGCATTTACATGCATCTAATTTCTGTGACCAGCTTATGAAAAAGACACACTGTTAAGATCTTCGTTTTGCAGTGAGGGCTCAGGGAAGAGAAGGTTTCACAGCCCATCAGCAGCAGAGCTCCGACTTCACTCCACGCAGCTGGTCACCAAGTCCTATTTTAACCTTCAACTCTGGCTACTTTGTAAGGGAGTTGTGAGAAGGACAAACGGTACACGTGTAAAAGGCTGGTACCCAGTGTGTGCTCCTGTCATCTTTATGGTCATAAAACCTTTCCACACTTTACCCGCTACCAGATTTAGAATCTATTTAATTTCTTAGTGACAGAGAATAGATTAGAAGCTGTGTACGAGGTACTTATTAACCACGTGGGTTGCTTGTTTGGGCAGGTTTACCTGTGCGGAGAGCCAGGTACCAGAGGGTCCGCTGTAATCCCGACAGTACTTCTGCAAACTGCATTGATGAAAAGGGACCCCTGTTCGACCTACTTCCAGGCGAATCCAACAGAATCCTCCCACCAAGGACTGACCCTTTTTTGTAAGTGGTCTTGATCTACTTTTCCTTTCCTTTCACCAGTCTCTCTTGAGATCTTGGCATGGAGGTGGGAGGGTCGTCTAGAATGTTTTCCTTCAGGCTCTTGCTTTGGGGGATTGGTGTTCACTGCACAGAACATGGTAAAATGTATTCACTGGTAGATGAGATGTGCAAGAATACATGGTTCACGTATTCTTTTGCAAAGTCTTTTTATTTTGGCAGAGACAAGAATTGAGTAAAAAATTTGTGAAAATAATTGGTGAGAATATTTTTCACCAACAAGTATTGAAAATGATTGAACATTATTTTATTTATGTAAATAGAGCACAATAGATACTAAAATCTAATAAAAGCCCATCAACCTCATAGTTTAAACAAAATGATATATCCCTAAAGTGTAATATAATTTAATCATAAGAAGGGATGAAGCCGAAACCGGTTTGGCTCAGCGGATGGAGCGTTGGCCTGCGGACTGAGGGGTCCCGGGTTCGATTCCGGTCAAGGGCATGTACCAGGGTTGCGGGCACATCCCCAGTGGGAGATGTGCAGGGGGCAGCTGATCGATGTTTCTCTCTCATCGATGCTTCTGGCTCTCTATCTCTCTCCCTTCCTCTCTGTAAAAAATCAATAAAATATATATTTAAAAAAAAAAAAAGAAGGGATGAAGTACTGACACAGGCTACATCATGGATGAATCCTGAAAACATTATGCAAAGTGACAGAAATGAGACACAAAAAGCCACATATTATATGACTCTATTTATAGGAAATGCCCAGAGTAGATAAATACATAGAGGCAGAAAATAGATTAGTGGTTGCCAGGGACTGGAGGGAAGGGGGGAATAGAGAGTGGCTAATAGGTATAGGATTCTTGAGGGTTCAAAAAAATGTTCTGGAATTAGATAGTGGTGATTTTTAGCAAGATGAAGTCAAGGAAAGGAAGAATAAATAGACATGACTTACAAAAGAAAACCTCGGCCTTGTCTGGCAAGCTCAGTGGGTTAGAGTGTCGTCCCAGTATGCCAAGGTTGTGGGTTTGATCCCTAGTCAGGGCACATTTAAGAAACAACCAATAAATGCATAAATAAGTAGAACAACAAGTCAATGCCTCTCTCTCTCTGTCTCTCTCTCTCTCTCAACTCAATAATATAAAAGAAAACCAAACCTCTTCTTGATCAGGTAAAACCTGTTTTAAACTTGCAAAAAAGATTCAATAGGAACTCATAAGTAACAAAAAATTGAATTGCACTAGAATCCATTATTTCATTGAATATCAAAGTTATATAACATAAAGCAAAAATGAATTATTGAAAGGATTTTCATAACAGTTTTAGTCCTCAGAGCTACACCTAGAAAATCACTCTCCTCAAAGCCAGGTAAATCATCGTGCCCAAACCAGTTAAGTCCATCATGCCTTGGGGGATCCTGGCGACCCTCTTCATCACTGCCTTCACTGTGTAGGAGATGACATCATCGCCACCCTCTGCAGTCCTGTCCTGTGCTTTGACTTGTGTGTTTTTGTCCCTCGAGGCCTTTTATTTATACACTACAGGCCCAGTGCACAAAATTTGTGCACGAGGGGGTGGTCCCTCAGCCTGGCCTGCATCCTCTTGCAGTCTGGGACCCCTCAGGGGATGTCCATCTGCTGACTTAGGCCCGATCCCCTGGCAGTCTGGGACCCCTTGCTCCTAAACGCCTGCCTGCTCACTGCTCCTTACCACTTGGCTCACTGCTCCTTAGTGCTGCTGCAGAGGAAGGAGAGGCTCCTGCCACTGCCGCTGGCTGTGCTCGCCAGCCGTGAGCCCGGCTTTTGGCTGAGTGGTGCTCCCCCTGTGGGGGTGCACTGACCACCAGGGGCAGCTCCTGTGTTGAGCATCCACCTCCTCATGGTCAATGCGCATCATAGCAACCAGTTGTTCTGATCATTCTGCCGTAATGGTCTCTTAGGCTTTTATTATATAGATATGTAATACATGCCTAGAAAAAGAATCCCAGGATTTCCCCTCCTGGGAGATTTTGTCTTGCTCCTTCATGGCCATGATGCCCGCTGAGGTCGTCAGTGCTACGAAACCAAAGTGACGGCACAGAAGTAGGTTGTTCTGCCAGTTCTCCAGACCTTTGAGCTGCACATCAAATCTGGGGCTGATTACTCCACACTTGTTCAACCTGTCGGTGAGGTTCACAACAATTTTCCCAGCTCCGTGGTCATCAATAATGTCCAACTCCCCAGTGTAGCCATCCTTCATTATCACAGTTGGAAACCAGATGGTGACTTTGGAGCATGGCCTAACCAGAACCTGGGTGTTGCCTCTCTTCAGCATTGTTGATACTCTTGGGAGCATCAGCCAGGACAGTCATGCACCCTAAGGCATCACAGGGAGATGGAGGACAGAGCCCTATGCTTTTGCTTTAAGTCCACGGCACTAACCTTGAGCTGATATTACAGCATCCTCCATTATTTTAGGTCTTAGGTTTCAATAGCGATTTATTTGAATCTAAAACATTAGAGGAATAACTCAAGTTCTTCAAAAACACTTACTTTACACCAATTTCTTCTCTCCTCAGATCTCAATGATTTTCCCTCTCTACAGCCAGTAACTTTCCTTCTCTTACAAGTGGGTTTTGTCAAAGGACTGTGAATTATTAGAAGTTTTGTAGAAATATTAAATTAGGGAAGAATGTCATCTATCTAGGCTGTCTTGTTTATCCCTTTTTTAGTGGGAGAAAATGGATAAAAGGGTCTTTTTATTTTTAATAAATGATCCCTTAAGCCTATCTCAAGTATAGGATTCTTATGCTAGTAATAAGAAAATTAGCATTGTTTATATGAGTTTGCAATGGATAGATGTGGAATAGATAAGTGCAATGAGTTACATAAAACAAGTGTAGGCAAACATGTGGAAAGGTCTGACTTACTTTTTGTTTTAAAGCCTTGAATATGGGAAATTTTAACTTTTAATTTGATTAACTAATTAACTGGGTGGCTGCATTTATTTTCTTACCTTAAAAATGTATTACAATTATCTTCCTTATGTCTCCAACTTTACTGTGTTTTTTTTCATTTTTCTGTCTTACTTCAGAATGATGCCATTCCAGAACTTGAATGATGTCTTCCCTCTTTCTGAGGACTATTCTGGATCAGGCTCTGGCTCCGGCTCAGGATCTGGAAGTGGCTCTGGAGATGACTTCCTCACTGGAATGGAGAGTGAATACCAACCATCATTTGTAGACACAAATGATGCTTTTTATTACAACTTTAAGCCTGTGCCCACAGATGACCAGGACTTGGGTCAAGATGGACCGGAAGAGAATTTTATTATATAGAAGAGAGGGTTTTCCACCTTGATACCTGCCAATGCATTCAGAATATTTTCTGTATCACAGTTAAATGATTAATTTTGGGACAAAAAGTTTTTACAGAAATTTTAAAACATCTGAAAAAGAAGTTTAAGTTTTATCAACTTTTTTCTCATGAATTATTAAATACTCCTTTACCTATTACTATTGTCCTAGAAAATATTTGCACTTTCTTTATATCCTATTCAATCAATATTGCTATGAATTAACCAGATTCCCCATGTCTATAAAATTGCTTTACAGAATAAATTATACTGTTTTTCTTTTTTAAAATGAATTTGAGAAGCAAATTGACAGGCGATATTTCATACCTAAGTCTTCAGGAACCTGACTTTGATTGTGAATTATAGATATGCCCTTTTTTTGAGTGAAAAACAAACAAACAAACCAACAACAAACAGATGAAACGCTGTGCATTATAGAGTGGGTATTTGACATGTTTTACGGTGTGAAGTGTGCAGCTCTAGGATTACCATTGGATGTGTCTGCAGAGCTACTGGACATGGTGTGTTTAGACATACGATTGCTATTTCAGTTACAAACTTAAGACCCAAAGTAAAACACAGTTGTGCTCTCCGTACCTCATACGGCTTTACCTTTTTCCCTGGATACCTGTGTCTTTTCAAATGTTGTTCTATTAAAGCAGAAGTATAATCAAAGGGTTAAGCTGTCTGGGATCTCTTGTCCTAAATTCAGGATAATAATTAATTTTGGTCAGATATTTTATTAACAGAATAGAAGTCTTATTAACAAAATATACATTTTTTACGGTGAGATCAAACTGTGTTTCTAGAATCAAGTCTATTAAGCAGTAGATGAAGAAAACACTCACATACAGCCAGAGGGTTCTTCTTGTCCTAGCGCTTCCTCTTTTTGGAGGCCACTCCCGTTTCTGTTCCTCCTGGTTCTGTGAAGCCTGTTGTCATCATGGTCATGGATCCTGTTCTGCACCGTCCAGATCTCTTGAGAACTGGGGACTTAATCTCTGCTAGAGAGAGAGCCACCTTGCCCAAGGCCACACCTTCTTCCCAGGGCAGCCTGTACCCCGTGACTGGTTGAGGAAGTGGCCCACATCTGGAGTCACAGATGGGCTAATATCAAAGACCTGGCTTCCCAATGGTTTCTAGGCGATGGGTTAATCATGGTAACTAAGGGAGATCAGGGCCGTGGTCTCTACTGATTGGCCAGCACTAGGGTAGGAGGTCGTTGATCTGGGTCTGATGTCAGCCATGGCATCGCTTCATCTGGTTTCACCGCTTTTCTGGGTCTGGGTGCAGCGGTTCTCAACCTGTGGGTCTCGAACAATGAAAATACATCCTGCATATCGGATATTTACATGACGATTAATAACAGTAGCAAAATTACAGTTACGAAGTAGCAACGAAAATAATTTTATGGTTGGGGGTCACCACAACATGAGGAACTGTATTAAAGGGTCGCGGCATTAGGAAGGTTGAGAACCACCAGGGGCTGAAACACAACTGAGGTCTAGATGTTATTTTTAGTTTGATTGAAACGCTGTCTCTGTGGTCAGTAGACCCGAGGCTTTGTTCATAAGATTATTTGATGCCAACCTAGGCCTCTCTGTCCCGGGGGCTTAATGATTAAGGGCGTGGATGTGCCAGGGAGAAGGAAGCCGGCGAGTGGAATAAAGGTGTTGACTGAGGCCAATTTGAATCAAAAGGAAAGAAAGGAGAAAAAGTAATATTAAAGAAATAAAGTTTCTGCGTGGTTACACCAATACTGAAGTACACTTTTGGGATACAGGTTTTAATACCCAGGAGAAGGTGCTGACATGCTGCTAGAACAGCTCTTAGAAGTTTGGAAAGAGTAACATCCCTTTTAAGCGAAGTAGAGATGCTAGAACTGCCTTGGCAGGCAGTGGAAGAAGGGAGTCAAAAGGTTTAAGGAAGTGAGAACGCTAGAATGAACAGACGGTGTAAACCTTGAAAACCCACCAGATGACTGTCCTGCAGGAAGGCCAAAGCAATGAAGAGTATGCGGTGAGAGAGACGGCACCTCTGAGCTATCAGTGGTAGCTCTCCTGTGAAGGGCAGGACTGATGGTAGAAATGTTACAGAACTGGATTCTCTAATAGCAATGGAATGATAAGGTCCCAAAATAATAGAGGCCAGGTGGTAACCTCAGCCATTAGAAGCCAAGGGGGCAATTATCATAATAAACAGCAAAATTAGAATGAAATCCAGGAAAGCTTACTGGATTGGGCATCTCTAGAGGTAAGATAATGGGTATGAGTCCCGCATCAAATTCCAATGTGTGTTGAAGAGGGTGGGGGGTTCTCCACACCCACCAGCAAGTCTCCAAACACCAACTAGGTGTTACAATTTTTTTGGGGGGGGGGGTTGTTACAATTCAACTCAATTCTGAACTATCTACCTAGAGATAGCATCAGATTCCACAGGTTAAGGGCTCAGCCCCATTAAGCTGCTCTCCACTTCGATGCCAATCACAATGGTAATTTTTCCAGTCTCCACATTAGAGTGGACATACCTGGTAGTTAGCACAACTTCCACATTGCTTTCTTGACCTGTGTGACAGGAGCTACTGTAATGAGGAAGACCAAGTGAAAACTTGTAAAGCTAGCCTACTACCCATCCACCATAAGTAAACATTTCATCCTGGGGGGAATGTCAGAGGATAATAGTGGACTATCATAAATTTAAACAACTAGTAGTTCTAATTGCAGCAGCTTCAGGTAGGTGGTAGGCTAACAATGTCAAAAGGAAGATCAGAAACAGTATTGGATTGGACAGCAGTATATATGTACAGTCTTCCCAGTGCCAGGTTAAGTCCTCTATTCCCGGTCATAATATAATACAAAGAGACCTGGACTGTTTGGACATTTCACAGACTATCATATAGGTCCACTGTATCTATGGATCATGAGACTGTGACCAGACCTTCCATGTCTTGTACCACTGATGCCCTGACATTTCTCCCTCAGCTCACATCTATGGCCATATAGCAGAGGGGTGTGTGTGTTCCTTATGACCAAATGACAGAATAGGAATAAGATCAAGTTGGGCTCACAGAGGGATTGGCTTGGTATATGGGTGCAAGTAAAAAATGCACGGCAGTGCCAATCAGGAGTGGCCTTGAAAATAGCTATGAAAGGAAAGCCTCCCAATGTGCAGAGCTTCCGAAGGTGTGCCTGGTCACATAGTCTGTGTGGAAAGAGAAGTAACCCAGGTTAGAATACATAGCTTTATGGATAGTGGTAAATGTATGGGTCAGTTGGTTAGGGGTATGAAATGGGAAGATGGATTGGGGACTATGAAATCTGGGGTAAAGACATGGGAATGGACCAATGAGAGAAGATACAAAGTGTGAAAATTTTTATCAAATGATAATACCCGCCCTGGTTGGTGTGGCTCAGTGGGTAGAGCATTGGCCTGCGGAGTGAAAGGTCCTGGGCTCCATTCCTGGTCAGGGCACATGACTGTGTTGCGGGCTCGACCCCCCAGGGTGGGGCATGCAGGAGGCAGCGATTGATGATTCTCTCTCATCATTGATCTGTCTCTCTCCTTTTCTCTCTGAAATAAGTAAAAACATCTTTTTAAAAAAATGATAATGCCCATCAAAAAGCATCCATCACTGAAGAGGCACTAAACAGCCAGGTGTACACAATGACTTGGGCAATGTCGGTCAGCCTTTGTCATGGGCCACCCCAATGCTAGCCCAGTGAACGCATGGAGGAGCAGCCATAATGGCAGGATGGAGGCTATACGTGAGCTCCCACTAACCAAGGCTGATCCAGCTACCGATGCTGCCAAATGTCCCAAATGCTAGCAATAACGTTCATTTCTGAACCACTGAGTGACATTATCCTTCAAGAAGACCTTGGTGGCAAGTTGCCTATGAGGCTCCTTCCATCCTGGAGGGACCAGACATGTATTCTAGGTGTGGATTTTGCTGTGCCTACCCCTGGGACCTTCAGTAGCATCAATATTGAAGGGCTTACAGAACGTTTGATCCGCCAATATAATTTCATGTATAACATTGCATCAGCAAAGGGCCTTCTTCTTTACAGTAAGGAGACCATGGGAGTCACTTGTTGTCTCACACATCATATCATAGATGCCACCAGCATGATAGAAGGACCTGCTGAAGCCAGAGCTGAGACACCAGCGTGGATAGGATACACTGAGACTGGGATATCAACTTCCAGGATGCAGTATCATGCTAAAGGAATAACTTTTATATGGTGCTGTGTCTTTAATATGTGGAACACATGGTTCCAGGAACCAAGGGGAGATGTAGGATAAAACACATCTAACATCAAACTTACTTGGGGAGTTGGTGTTTCCTGTGCCTGTAACTCTGTGTTTTGCAGATTTAGATGTCATGGTTCCCCCAGGGGAGCCTTTCCACCAGGAGGCACAGTAAGAATCCTACTGATATGTGGGCTGTAGCTATCATCATTCAGGCACTTTAAGCCATTTGTGCCATTTGTTTTTAAAAAATATATTTTTTGCCCTAGCCAGTTTGGCTCAGTGGATAGAGCCTTGGCCTGTGGACTACAGGTTCTCAGATTTGATTCCGGTCAAGAGCATATGCCTGGGTTGTGGGCTCAATCCCAAGTTGGGGGTGGGTGGGTGCGTGCAGAAGGCAGCTGATCAATGATCTCTTTCATCATTGATGTTTCTATCTCTCTCTCCCTCTCCCTTCCTCTCTGAAACCAATAAAAAACATATTTAT